TACTAGGGGCTCCTGGCATCGCTACTAGTAGCAAGGACGCTACTAGGCGGAGTAAACCTATTTGTGTTTTCGTGCCACGTGTGCCCCAGTGGTACCCAGGCACTGCGCCCATATCCCATTCCAACTCAGGTTGTATGGGCGACCAACAAGGCCACACCTGGTGCAATTGGGCGTAACGTTTTTCATGACACCAGCGTAGACCCCAAACAGTTTTTCGTATTTATTGTCCGTTGAATTCGTTGATTAAAAACAGACAGAATTCGTTGAATTCGTTGATAACTTTGCGTCATTGTCAAAATACACATATAAGCTCCTTTTTGCATCTCGCGGCCACTTCCCCAATATGGCACACCCATTGTGTGACCCACCCACTGCCTGGCAAACCCAAGTGCTTGGCACACCCTAGGTGGGGGCCACGTGAATGGGAACCCTGTCTGATGCTGGCAACCAGCAGGAGACAGATCAAACCTGATTAAAAAAACTCTCGACGTCGACCGGGCACTAGAATTGACATTGCCATAGCAACATCCGTGACAAACATGATTTTTTTGCATGTCGGCACTTTGTTGTGGAAGTGTTGGCTGTATGCAACTCATGCGCCGCAGTGCCGCTGATTGCAGCAAACTCGCTCTCAGCTCCACTCAGCTCCACTGCTTCCTGACACGAGTACTTTTTGCAAACCCCAATCCCGCCGAAGAGGCTCTTGAAGTCTGAGCAAGCATCCAAACTGAGTTTGAGCCAGCAAGTACAATATCAAAAAGTCATAAAATAAATAATCTACAGTACATTCGGCCTAGCAAAATCAGAAGCAAGCGCACAGCGCATACATCAGAATTACTCTGTTGCGCTGCTTTCAGATTTAGAACTGATAGGTTTATCGGCGTGGCTCATTTGTCTCAAGACTCTCGCGTTTGTCTCAAGACTCAAGCTTTCATGGGTACCTGGCATAGCATCTGTCTCAGCCCGTATCACCTCAAACACTCTCAATTCACTGACACGTGCTGGCACTGTGCATACGGAAAAAGTGCTTTTGCAAGCGACTACTCGACTCTCTCTCTCTCTCTCGTCGCTCGGCCTGCAAGTTCGTCGGCAAATAGTGTTCGGCTCACCTGATGACACATGACTTTGAGAGGAATTGCACTCAGAAATCACAAGGAATAAATTCCAGCGATTCTAATTCACATTCCAAGTACAAAACACAAATGCAAATGAAGTACTTGAAGGATGAAGGCACTCACCTTCGTGCTCTCGCCAAGTCTTGCATGCCTGCAGTTTGAGTAGTCCCCATGACCATGCGCAAGCTGCTTGGTAAATTGATGTGTATATAAATTGATATCGTTTCAACAAAAGTCGAACCAAATCAATGCGAAGGGTTCTTCAAGGAAACTCCCCCGCCATCTTGAAAGAATCCTAACTTTTTCTGGGGTTGTCGGGCGTTACCTCTCCGCAACAGGATCGTCAAAGCGCTTCTTCTCTCTTAAATCGCACGGCGGTTTGAATCGCACAGCCTTACAGCCAAATCTAAGGATCCCCTGCGGGGTCCTGGCAAAATCGCAAATGGCACAGGTTTCTTGCGGCACTTCGCGAATGAAGTCCGCAAATCAATTCAAGGGATGCAGTGCAGTCCTGCTTCGCTGAATTCGTTGAATTCGTTGAATTTATTGTCTGCCATATACACCCCCGTCCGCCCCTTGGTCAGTTTTGAAAGCCCTCCAAAACGGTCATAAAACGATTGGAACATGGCTTCTGACAACCGTTCCAGGAAGCATGGAGCAGCATCAGCCCCCTCCATGGTTCGTTCCAACCATCCAATTTTATGCGTTGCGCTTTTGGCACGCAACAATCCTGCCGAGTTGGCCATGACTTGACTATCTGGCGCGTGCATTGTGCACATTTTGGACACCCAACACCATCGTATCAGCCCCGCAACGCAGCTCCACTCACCTCCCAACAGGCTTCCGCGAAGCATGGAGCAGCACTACCCCCACCCATGCTTCGTTCTACTTGTGCACCCATCTTCCCTCCCCAGCCCCGTCCCATGCGCCATCTTCTCTGCCAGCCCCCCGTCTTGCTCCCCTCCATCTTCCCTCCCCAGCCCCGTCCCCGCCCATGCACCTCCCGTCTCGCTCCCCTCCATCTTCCGTCCCCAGCCCCGTGCGCCTCCCGTCTCGCTCCCCTCCATCTTCCCAGATTCGCCCCGTCTTGCTCACATAGTCGGCTTTTGCCACGGTAAGCTCGCACCAGTTCAGCTGCCACAAGACGCCCTTGAGGCTGTCATTTTCACGTGTCACTCTTTCTAACAAAGAAACTGTTGTGTTCACCGCTGGGTCTTGCTTGTACGACTGCGTGTCATCTTGGAGAACAAGGTCTGGTGCCATGGTCTGCTTGTTCTCTGGAACGCAAGCCGCCAAGGTCTCAAAGTCAATGGGCAATTGCGTGTCTGGGGGCGCCTCGGTCACCAACATGTTCCTGCTGGATTGTACCACGTAGCCATTGCCAGAGTCATGTTTGCCGGCAAGAGCGTAAAAGCATAACGGCTTGCGCTTGGCCAAGCCTTCTTTGACAAGAAGCAGCTCCTGAGGATCATGCTCTCCTGCGTCAAACCACATGGACACTGTCATCGCAACGCGCTTTTCCATATTTTTGTTGCCGTCTTCGATCACTATCTCGCAAACCCGCCGCCCACTGCCAATGGTTTTCAACTCCTCCACTTTCGTGACAAATCCCATGACATCAAACTGTTGCGTTGTCTGCAGGGATAAGCATTCAGCCACCTGAATTCTGGGCTTTGGAAACCAAGTCTTGTCGGGTTTCTCCTTCACAACGTTGACCTTCGTCGCCTGCAAGTTCACCACCTTCTTGATGGGAGTGTGCACGTAGGCTAATTTGGAATCAGCCAATTTCACTCGCGACAACTCCAACACACTGGAGCTTGTATACTTCTTCAAGGCTTCTTCAGCAACTTTTGGTTGCTTCTTGGAGGGCTTCACTTCTCCCATGCAATAATCTCCGCTTTCACCACTCAGAAGGCAGCAGAACATTTTGTACCGAACTTCGCTCCCATTCCAAGTGTATTGCACATCGACCAACCGAGGGAAGTGGACTTGAACTCGAAATGTCAAAAGATCTGCTGCCCCTCCCATGGAAAGATCTGTCAAGGAAGCCATCGCAATAAACCATAGAGCGGCCCTAGCTTGAGAAGAGTCCTTCGGTCGATACTAGTCATCATACAAGAGCGCTAGCTTGAAATGGTTTAGCCATCATACAAGTCTGTTTCCACCGAATGAATCCCGAGCAGGGCTTGTTCCTAACGCAGCACCGAAGCATCAGAACTACCAGGACTAAGAAAAAGAAATGCATCCTCAGGCCCAGGCATTGCAAAGAATTGTTGCCGGTTGTTGGTGCAAAGCGTTCACCTGCATGGCAGTCACATGCACAAAGCCGGACCATGAAGCAAAAACACCTATCTGCCACGAAACATGCGTACAGGCGGACCAATAAGCAAAAACACCTGCTCGCACCGACCACGGTTTGGATCCAACGCAGCATCGTAGCAGCAGAAATCTAAACGCTTGGGGGGTGGTCAAAACATCGAACCTTTAAACCTTCCAAGTGAAGCGTGCGAGTATGCTTCAAGCATGCAAGTGTTTCAGGCGCTACAGCCCCGTGTCGTGAGGTGTTTCGCCATTGCTTTCTCCAGTTTGCGCAAGCAGCGGGTGCAACAGCAGCAATGGCAACCACGACGGAGCCAAGAAGTGCAGAACACAACCAGTCATGCAAGCAAATGAGCGCCGACACATCCTTTTCAACAACCTTGACTTGTTTCGCGGGCCTGGCTTCATGTGCATGACATGATCTCATGCCCAGGCCATGATATCGTGCACATGACATGATAACATGCAAATGATATGATAACCTGCGCATAACATGATACCATGCACAGGAAAGCAATACGACCATGTGATACGACCATGTGAAACACCGTCGTCAGCTGTCCCAATCATTCTATTCACGCATCTGCTACAATCGATATGGTAGCGGTTGCGCTAATCTTTCATGCGCAGAGAAGATACTAGCAGCAATAGCGCCACCAAGAACAGTTGAGCAAGCAAAAGCAGCAGCTACGCGACGAACATGGACACGAAGACC